CTTCCGATCCTCGACTTTGCATCCGACACCTTTGCCTATATCTCTAACACCCTGCGCGTAATTAGTATCATCTTTATCACGATTATCTGTTTTTTCGTCGCGTTGCTTCGTCCCGTGGCGCCTGATAAAGGCGATATCGTTCTTATAGCGAGTAGCCACGTTTGCCATTCTTAATCACGCGAATCCTCGGCGAGATCGATAATCGAATTTCTCCGGCGATCCGCGAGAATTATCGAGGACGTACGATCTCGTCCCGTACGTTCTGTCGGCTCGATTGATTTCGTATAAATTTCCCGGCACGGAGTAATTTCTTAACGGTACACCTAATCGAGCTTCTGTTCGGTCAAAATGCCAACTGGTGCGCGGAATTCCACGCGTTTCCAGCGAGAAAACGCGCGCGATGCGGCTGAAATGCAAACGTTGCTGAAAACTCGTTCGTCGAGGAATTCAGCGACCGGAAGTGCGTCGGGTATATCGCGCGATACGGTTACGGGTGGGAACAGTCGAGGGAAGTAGGAAAAATGGAAAGAACGGTTCGAGATGCTAGAGAGAATCGCGATGCGTCGTGGTTACTCGAGGAACAATGCAATTCCGCGACGGATTACACGATTGCAAAATAGTTGCCTGTTACTTGCTCGATTTGCACGGTAGTAAATGAACGAGTCGAATTTTTCTCACACCTATCTTCTCGATTATTTCGTTCGTGCCTAACCCTCGTGCACCTTCTGGTCCTTCGCGACCAATGGCGTCATGTTCACGTTAGGTCAGTGTTCGTTAGGTCGAATGTCGCTGCAAAAGGTATTATTTTCGATAATTTCGAAATTTTATTATTTTCCATATCATCGTTGCCATTTTATTGTTTCCGTCATTATTTTCCATGCATCGGTGATTTATTACATGTATCGCGAATATATTTGTATGAATATATATATGGATTCTCGCATCAATCGTAACGCAACGAGATTCGATAGCGGATTTTTTAAGTTGCTGCAATTAACTGTGAATATTTGCTCTCGATAATATCGCGGTTACGTATGCGCGTCTCTCGCATCTGTTTTCGAGATAAGGATCATTCTTCGCGGGGCTGAATCCTCTTTGCGCGTGTATATAAAAGAACGAACAGGATACTGTTCGTCCAGGGAAATAAATTCCCGCAATGATTATTCGTCGGTCCGTTAGTAATTTCTGATCGTTAGACGCGCGAGCATCGCGGAATTAGATTTTCCAGAAAGATGCCTTTTCCCTCGTATTCCATCTTCATCCTCGTTATTCATCCTCGTTATTCATCCTCGTTATTCACCTTCGTTATTCGCGTCTACTTAGCGTTGCTGCGGGCAGTCGGAAAAATGTAATATTCGCCCGAGAAATAATGGCAACGGGAGCCAGCTAAATTAGTTAAACGAAAAAGCGTGCAAAAATACGAGGGAGCTCAAGACTGGCGGAAAATTGGCGCAAACGTGAAACGATCGCGAGTGTGGCCACTCGAAGTGAAAGAATCGCGGAAACGAGAGGTGTACGCGCTCTTTGTCGAGTAAGGTGCAATTACGCGTTGGTCCGTTGGGGCCATTATAATGGAGAAACGCGTGATTGTTCGATAAAATTCGTCTACCTACTTTCCTCTTTTTCCTTTTTCCTTTTTTTTCTTTTTTTTCCCTCCACGTCTCTCTCCGCGCCAGTGTATCCATCTCGCAAAAGTGCACGA